TTATATATTTTATTTTATCATAATATGAATTTTTTCAAATTATATATAAAAAAATTAAATTTTTTTTTTTTTAACTTACTAAATTTTTTAATCTCTTAGTAAGAGAGTAAAAAATTTAGTGAGAGACTTTTACTAACTCTACCGCTAATAAATAATATAAGGCTGCTTTTTTTTTTGTGTGTGTGTATATATATATATATATATATATATATATATATATATATATATATATATATATATATATATATATATATATATATACATATATATATATATATATATATATATGTGTGTGTATATATATATATATATATATATATATATATATATATACACACATACACATACACACATAAATAATTCCAAATATAACACATACATGAGTATAAATAAACACATACATGAGTATAAATATATACACACAAAAAATAAAAAGCGAGAAAATGTGATTTGTGATAATGGTTATTGTCAATAAATTTTTAACTTTTTTTTTTAATGATTGCAAGGAACAGTTATCTTGTTTTTATTTATAATTGATATATCTGATCTATTTTAAAAGAAATTACGATGTCTTTGTATATTTTACGATGTCTTTGTATATTTTGTTAAACATTTCATATATTAATTATTAAAATAATTTATTTATTGTACTGTCTTTGCAAAATTGATGCATGATAACAATAATTAGTAGTTAACTATTTATATTTTTGTGTGTTTTATTTGTGTATCTTGATTTATAGTGAGGCCCAGGACCTTCAGACTTAGCAGGGACCCGGGGAATATCCTCAACCTCCCACGTCAGTCCGACTCTGAGTTCTTTGACACAATCATAGTCTTTATTCTTCTGCGAGGGGGTAAGAAGCGAAGATGGATATTTATTTTCATTGTAGAGCAACACAGCATTGAGACTCCGTTATGCTATGAACAGTTGCCGATATGGAGAATCACGCCGTAGTCAAAAAGAAGTAAACAAACCAGTCACATCTTTCAAATAACATAAATTATGCACAATTCATTTTTATTTAATTATAAAACATTACACCGCTAATTTTTTATTGTAAAATATGTAAAAACTTTTCGGCACCATCTACCGTTTTAAAGTTATAACATTTTTTATCGCCAACCGGCAACTGAGCTTGCTTAACAGTATGATGATGCACTCGTCAGTACGTCATGAAATATTTTATCGGAGGTTGTTAGTGAAAGAAAAATAGTACGTTACAAGACGGCTTATAATAGACGAAAAAATTTGTAACTATTTGGTGCTTTAAATACGAGTTTTTCCGTTTCCGCGTTGTAAATTTTTTATAAAACGTATAAAAATAGGTTTTGCATCCCTGTCATCAAATACGCATTTAAAGTTTGCGCTCAAGACCAAAGTAATTATATATTTTGAACAGTTGTCAAAAGCTACTCAAGTTAACTTTTAATAGAGTAATCTTAGAAACTACATTTTATAACTTTTCCTTTTTTTTACTAAAAAGGAACTTTTTTATTTGCCGCTGGAATAGTTATACTACAAAAACTGAAACACGTTTTACAACCATTTTTGACTTCATTTTCCCTCCGGCTAGTCTACTATGTAAGGTCGTTAAGAATCTTTCGTTTAATTTTATATAAATTCAATTTATCTTAGAATATTTATCTTTTAAGATTGCATGATGTTAAAAGATTTTTTACAATTTTAGTAGGAAATACTTTATTTTAGTCCACAGCAAATAACAGTCTTTTTTGGTGTTAATAACGTTATTGAAGAATTAAAAAAAAAAAAAAAAAAATACTATTTTACGGTACTAAATCCTTTGCGTTACTTGTTTTGTCGATAAAAAGCAAATTTGGTTTCGACATATCTAAAAAGACGAAAACGGAGTTTTGGCTAAGATAATGATAAATTAAAATTGAATGAAGTTTTTGTATTATTATCGATATGTTAAAGTCTAGTAAAAGCATTCTGATTTTTTGAAAAAAAGTGAAATTTTTTTTATTAGTGTAGTTTAAAAGAGAAATTTGTGCTCTTTTAGAAAACATATACTTTTACACCTTTTTTTAAAATGAATTTCTCTAAGATTTACTTCTTTCGTCAAGTTTTCCTTTTAGCAACAACGCTCTTTGATTGTTTTGGGCCAAAAAAGGAAGTAGAATCTTTAAGGATTTATTAATATTTTTAGAATTTATTAATAAAAAAAAATACCACATAGGAGGAGATGTTATTCTAAAGGATCATTTTATAAACATTTTTTTTTATTTTCGCAATTTTCTCTGTTTGTAATTTTTCAGACTTAAAACACATATATCTCAACTTCTATTACTAATTTTTGATGGAATTTTTTAAGGTTTGTTCATCTGTATAAAAGTTAGTATGTGAACCAAAATCAAATTAATTCTTAAAGTATTTTAAGAATTATGGGACAGTTTTTGTCAAATTTTATCCCTTTTTTAAATTCCCTAAATACGTATACCTGTCATTATGGATCTTAAAATAGTTATAAGTATCTACTGATTTACACACTAATTTTTTATAAATTCTGCATACACACTAAAGTTTATGCAAAGCTAACCTACAGATAGCTAGAACTCTTCGAGCAGCCGTGCCGCAGTGGTTAGAGTTTTCGCTCCGAGGTTCGACGCTGGTTCTAGCCCAATAAGCGAAATTGGTAAAGAAGGAGGCGTGAACTTCTAGTTAAATGCTCTCCCGCGGTGCTCCGTGATAAGACCGTAAGGACTTCTAAGAGCACCTAAATAATCTTAAAAAAAAAGCTTATTTGAAAACTTGAAAAAAAAGTTTCTTTCGTAAAAATATTTTTGCAAAGGTAGTTTAATTTATCGCAATTAGATTGTTATTAGATTAGGTAAAAATTTATTTAAAATGTTCTAAAATAATAGCAGGTCTTAAATATATATTTAGGACTCTGACAACTTACCCCAAACCACATAATTTGAATAAAAAAAAAAAAAAAAAAAATTAAAGAAAGAAAGAATAACATATTACACTAACAAAAGCAATCTTAGCACACGTGATGCAGTCAGTTAACTGACTAGTTCTAACTAGTTAGAACAGTAATTTTTCAAAGTTGATGTTATTTTTATTTTAAAGCTCTTGATTTTTTGGCATTATGGATATTTGGCATTCAACAAAGTATTAAACAGTAACTTAATTAAGTTAAACAAAGGTTTCAAGGCCGGCGCGATAGGGAGTGTGACACCCCCCCATTAATGATTTTTAGTCGGCAAATCGGACCCTTTTAGACTAGTTAGTCGGCAAATGTGGCCCCTTTCGACATAGGTTAGACAGTCGGCAAATGTCGTAATGGCAGTCGGCAAATTTTGGAAAACGAGGACCTTTTTTTTTTTTTTTTAAGTCGGCAAAAGTTGTAATGGCACCCCCCCCCCCACGTGACACCTACTCGCGCCGGCCCTGAAAGGTTTAACTATTATTTATTGTAAAATGTGCTGTTTTTAGCTGTACCCGTATATATTTATCAATAAACAACAATTTTCGAATGATAAATTTATATGGCGAAAAAATCACATTAAATTAATTTGTTTAATGCTTTACTTGGTCAATAAATAATGCTTCGATCAGTTTTTATCACGTCATCACTAATTGGATGCGTGCAAAATTATATATAATCCATTATTGTCTACAACTGTTTGCCAACATGTATGCAAAGAATGGATGTTCTGTGAATAGAACTCTTTAGACTTGTAAGCAAAAGTCATTCAGGCGTGTTTTGAGTTGGGCTTCATTTTCAAAATCATTTCCACGTAGATTGTTGTTCAACTAACTAAACAATTAACAATCAGCTGAGATTGATTAATAACTGTTTTGTCGGGTCAATACGGTGGTGAGATAATATATACAAATTTGAGCAGGCATGGTGGCATATTTTGCAAAAAAAAAAAAAAAAAGTTTAATTCCAATAATTTTTACCGAGTTGATTTCACATGTAAATCAATTTTTTTGAGATTTTTTGTTTAAGCGTCTGCCTTTTCACTTTTCTATTCAAAACATTAATCCCTTTCTAATCAAAAATAAATTTAGGAATCATAAATTATTATTTTACAAGTATTCTAATTTCCAATTAACACTTTTACATTAATAGTATTTAAATCTAAAATATATTTACTACATTTAAGAAAAGTTAAACAATATTTGTTTACAAATTTAAGGCGCCATTTGTAAAAAAAGGACAAAAGCGGCTTCACTTTTCGGATCGAAGTTAGACATCTAGTTTATTTAATATATCTTTAGTTGGAAGTATTAAAATGTTTGTTTTGAAAAAGTCAAAGAAATTCTCTATAGAAATCAAGTTTTTTTAATTTGATAATGTAAATATAGAATTATGATTACAATGACCAAAATACGATATGATGCGACCGCAATATATATATATATATATATATATATATATATATATATATATATATATATATATATATATATATATATATATATATGCATTTATATTTATGTACATATGCAAAATATGAGATTTTTTTTCTTTTTGAAACAATTCGGACGTTTTCAGAATTAATGACATTTTTTTGAGAAATCCCCTCCAGAACGTTTTTAATAAGAACAAAATTGGTAGCAAAGATACCGTTTTCGCTTTTTCAATTGACTAAAATACAATTCTTTTGAAAATCAATACTTTGGAACATTGAAATACTTTCAATGTTCAAACGTGTCAAAAAAAAAAATACAAGTGTAGCTATTATTTATTTTCATTCTTTGACTTAACATCTTATTTAAAAACCTCCAAAAACGTTGATATAAATTTAAAATAAGTGTCAAATAAATCACTACTAAACGCTTAAATAAAAAATTACAACAAATTTATAAAAACAACTATTTAAAACAAATTCCATTAAAATATAAGTTAATAAATAAGAAAAATCGATGTATACCCAGGTCTATATATAATAACAAGCTAATTGGAGACTGTAACATTTTGGGGTTTTCAACTTTTAAATATATTATTTTAGTAAAGAGTCGAATATTAGGCTTAAAAACGACAGCCCTGTTAATTTAAACCTGTGTATATATCGATATAATTTAACTCGCACCAACTTATCATAATTACAGAAAATACACTTTACTTTTTATTTCCTATTTTTTAATTAAAAAAGAAACTAACTTAAAACTCTAATAGATTTAAGTTTAATCTCAAAGATTTTCGTATTTAGAAGTGAAAGAATGGAATCTGTAGTTAAAACAAAACTTTAACAAATATCTTCCGTAATAGAAAGGATAGATTGCCGCATATAACGGGCTTAAATAAGAAAAATACAATAAAACTGTTTACATTTAAAAAAAACCTCCGCTTCCGGACATTTGTAACAAAACATGAAAAATACCTTAACAATATAGTAAACAATATAGCATATAATATATCAAATGTACCTCCAATTTTTAAATTAATTTTCACATTAAGATAATAAAATTTATAAAAAAATCTTTCTACTTGTATTAGTTTTTCAACGTGGCGTTATAACGATGTTCAAATCCTTGATAACAAACGTTAACAAGGATTTGAACATCAATCATCAACATTATTTTTAAAAAAGTAAAAAAATAAAAAACTCGCTATAGATGAGACATTATATTCTTTTTGTTTTCATTTAATAAGGTAAATAATAGTTTATCTATTTTGGTGGTACAAGTTTTATATAAGAACTTATTAAAACTAAAGAATCTAACGATCATAATATTATTTCATCAGTAAAACAGTTTTGTGTTTTATAAAACTAATATATTTATAAAATAAAAAATATAGAAACAAAAATTATATAAGATTGGTCGTTATATTTTACCGATTCTTGTGCTTGAGAGGGCTAAACATAAAATAAATTAATACTAATATTTTTTCAAATATGCGTACATAATTATAAAGTAAACTAAAGCGCGCGCGTGTGTGTATGTGTGTGTGTGTGTGTAAAAAAGGAAAAAACATATCGGATGAACACGATGAAATTCAGTACCCTTCAATTGTTAATTGTTCAAAAACTACTTAACATTTTTTTTACCGTTACTACTATTATAATAAATCGAGTTGATTATAATGGTAATAAGTATTAGTCATCATTGTTAGCAGATTAAAACAAAATAAACAAAAAATCAAAAAAAAGTTTTAAAAAATTTTCTTCAAAATCCTTTGTTAACATTTCAAAATTGACCAGTGTTTCTCGATCCTCAGTTAGATTTATTTTGCGGCGATATTAACTATACATAACAGGATTTAAAGATAAATGTAAGGCCTATCATTCACTCCATAAATGCAAACTCATGTCACTTGCAGAGAGATCTTGCGAAAAAATTTAAATGGTGCCAAGCTTTGATAGGAAAAATACTTAGATTTCAAGAATATATAGCATATTATAAAAAAAAAATCCAAAGTAATCCATTAACGGAGAAATTTAAAGCAATTTGTGGTTAAAAAAGCAAGATACCAAAAAAACTTGTGTATAATTGAAGACGTTGAAACCAATTTCAAAAAAGACTTTTTATGACTGTCAGGCCAGCAATATTTTTAACAGTCAAAAGATAGATGTTGCAAAAAGTTTAAGCAAATTTAAACTGAGAAATTTGCTCCCAAGTTCCTTATATGGCAAGCAATCAGTAGCCGTATTCTCATCTCTCCGTTGAGCTTAACGGAGCGTTTGTCAAAAATTTCATTGCAACATTTCTAAGTAAAAAAGTGACAAAAACTTTATTTGAATTTGTTTAAATAAAACTAAGACTAAAATAAAACAATTTTATTAAAAAAATATTTTTTTAAAGAATTTTTTTTATTAATGAAGTTAAAAAGAACTTTTTGACAAGAGCTCCGTTAAGCTTAACGGAGAGATGAGAATACGGCAACTGCTCTTGTGGTTTAAATAGTGCACCATACATTCTTTGTAAAACTTTGAAAGCTGATTTGTATAATGCTTAAAGAAACGCCTCTTGCCATTAATTAAAAAGCATGATATGCCCACAACATTTTTACCTAGTTTTGCTACAATTTACCACTCCAAAAAGTTTCTAGAATGGTATAAACAAAAAATGGCGTCGAATTTAAACCAAAGGAAGGAAATCCTCCAAATTGTCTTAAGCTGCGAGTTATTAAAAGTTGTAGGTCAATTATAAAAGGAATGTTAATGAAAAGCAAGAAATCAAATTGAGATAACAAAAAAAATAAATAATAATAATTAGGAAATAATGAATAAAAGCTTCAAAAAAAGTAACTCAAATCAAGATCCAGCAGATAATGTATGTACTCACAAAAATATTTGGTTTATATCTAAGCGTCCAACAAAAATTTTAAAAAATTATTTAAATAAATAATTAAATTAGCTCAATTGTGTCAAAAAATTACAAAAATCTGTAAAGTAAATTTCAAGTATTAACAATTAAAGGATGCTAAATTTCATTGTGTTCAACCGATATTTAAAATATAACAAATGTGACCCATCAGATCTTGAGGCAAATCACGTAGTGTAAAGTATGAACACAAAATTTCGAAATTTTGTTTTCAATATTTAAATATTTATAAAGACTTAACCATCAAAATACAAATCAGCAATATAATAAGTTTGTTATTTCGTATTTAAAATAAGTTTAATAGTTAGCGATATAATATATACTAGCAGTAAGCAACCTGTATTACGCGTTGTTAGTAAATAAAAAAAAAAAAAAAACCGCATATAGAAAAGCCTAGAAACTACTTTAAAATAGAAAAGCCTAGAAAATGACGTAATTCGACTAATAATAATGTATTAATATTATCAGATAATAACAGCAGTTTGTTATTTCTTATTTAAAAAGCCATAAATATAAAAAGTAGATAAAGATATAAGCCATTTAAACAAACAGTATTTAAACAATTTGAATACTGTTAAATGTAGAAAATATTTTCATAGAAATTATTCAAAAAACTTTTTTTATTAATAAATAATTAAAAATATTTAAAATATTGTGATCTGGAAAACTTATTCAAGCTTTTAGTCTTTTTGGCAAAATTTTAAAACAAATTTCTAATTGTAAAAATCTTGTAATAGAAAAACTCAAAAAAAAAAAAAAAAAAAATGCTAAAAAATAAAATCAAACTAAAAATATTGTTATAGCAAAAGAGTACATAAAAGTGGTGGGGAGAATAAGAGAAAATGAACAAGATTGTGAGTATTCAAGAAGGGTGAAGTTTTAATGTTTGCTTTCAGTGGTGACCTACAAAGAAGTCTTAACAGTTCTAAAAGTTAATGTAATTCTTATTATAAGCAGTTTTATATGCTGTTTTGTCAGCACAAATTATAAAACCAATAAATAAATACCAATTATAAAACTTATATAAATATTGCTTTCTGTTTGTTTTTAAATCCGAGTCTGGAATAGTAAAAACAATAGCTAAGTGTTATTTTACTACAAAAACATTATCTACTTTTATAACTTCATTTTAAATTCTTCTTTTTTTATTTATGTGCAAAGTTAAATACCACTTTTCTTTTTTTTTTCTTTAACTTCACCTGATTTATGTTGAAATAAGACTTTCTTTAATTATCTCTAACTTCTTCTGATTTACTAAAGTATAGTTTTTCCTTATTTTTCTACTTTTTTTTTTTAATTTGTCGCAAAATCAAATTTAAATAAAGGTCTTGAGCAACCCCTAAAATTATATATATATATATATATATATATATATATATATATATATATATATATATATATATATATATATATATATATATATATATATATATATATATATATATATATATTTCTATCTATGAATGAATGTATGTATATATTTGCATATGCAAATATATACATACATTACAAAAATGTTGCTCACCTAGCTCTTTTCATATTTTGACGCACTTCTCTAATTTTGACTTGCAAACTCCAACGTGTTGGAAAAAAGTCTTTATATTTTGACTGAAATGCAACAGTTACACTTTCAGGGGGGTAAAAACCATGCTGTCCAAACAATGATAAAACAAGATTACGCCTCTTATCTAGACTAATGCGCTTCGACGTTTGAGACAAGTTCAAATTTGTACAGTTAACATTTTCACTGTGATTTTCAGACACAATGGTTTTTCCTGACCGATTAACCAATGCGCTTGGAACTTGATCAGAAGGATCAACCTCTTCAAGTCTTAAAAAACAAAATAAAAAAACTTGTTAAAAATAATAATCCAGATATACCTTTAAAATTATTTAATGTTATTATCAGCTACTTACTTTTCAGTTTTCTTTTTCAAAATTGATTTTCTTGTTGGACTCAAAGGTGTAAGAAGAGGTTTGACATCTTGCGAGTCTTCACCCAAATGGATTTGAGAATCAGAAAAACGAATTCTAGGTATATATATATTTTTTGAATTTAAATCCAAATCCATAGTTGATTCTGGATCTTCTTGAGGAAAACTATCTAACCTTTTATCTAAACTTAAATGTTGATCAAGCTGCTGGTCAACAATATAAGACTGTTGTCCCTCAACAGGACAAGATTGATCCTTGTAAGAGTCATCTTTTTTTATAAGCTCAGATATCGAATGAAAAACTTTATTAGGAGTAATCGACGGAGAAACCATAGATGTAATTTTAACAGGGAAGCTTCCATTTAAATTTAGCAAATGATTAGATGATTGTTGCTTTTCTAAAAGTATAGCAGCACGTTCTTGTTCATGCTCTTCAATATCTTGAGCATCAAAGCTAAATGATTTCTTTTTGGTTATGGAAAAGTTTCTAGTTAAAGAAGTTGACTGAGACAAAGGAATTTTTAGATCAAAATCCAAAGCAATACTTGAATCTTCTTTACAATCAAGCTGCATTAACTCTTTAGAGGAATTCTAAAGCATAATTTTTAGAAAATGGTTATATATGAAAAAAAAAAGATTTCAATTAAAGCTTTTGCTTGTTTTTGTCTTTATTTTTTTTAAATAAGAAAAAGCAAAACCTAATAAAAAAAATAGTTATGAAATATATTTTGTTAATTACTTTAACCAGGTATGAAATTCTAAAAAAAAGAAATAAACATTCAAAAAATGAATGTTTATTTCTTACTTTTCTCTTTAAAACCATTGCAACTTCAATGGGGGAGAAAATCAGGAATATAGAGTACAGGACTTTATTTATTTTGAAGAAGTCTTTATGTAAAAATGGCAGCCAGAGACTAAAGGACTTGAGTTAAAATAATAGAGCCTCAGACTTGTTTTCCCAATGCAGTCTCCTTAATTTTTGATCTACAGCATTAATTTTTGTTAGAAAATTTTTTATATAGTTTTAAAATTTCAATCGCTAATGTGCCAGCATGGCTGAGTGGTTAGCGCGCTGAGCTTCTGAACAAAAAAGCAGTGGTTTGAGTCCAACAACTGACGGCCTTTCTTTTTTTAACTTTTTTTAATTTTTAAAATACAAAATACTTGTGTAGTTTTATAAAGATTATATACAAACATATCTAACGATATTATACACTTTAACAAAAAGATTTCTAAAAAAGCTAAAAATTCTAAAAACATTAAAAAACGGGGGGATATTTTTAGGTATGTCTCATGATTAAGATACTTATGTTATTTTAGTTTTACAATTCAAGTTTTTTTACAAACAAATTTGAATTTGTGCAAGAAAAATGAGTATACAACATGTTTATATATAGAATATATAGAACTGTAAAGTTGCTTTGTTTTAAATAACAAAAATTAAAAAATAAAGCATGCTGGTGATTTGAACTTGCCACGCAGTGACCTCAACTTTTTTAAAACAGTAAGGGGGTTTAAAAAGTATGTTTTATATAAGAACATAATTGAAAATTCTAATTTTATATTTATATTAAACCATTTTATTAAATTAAATACTTTTAAAAATAAATAAAAGTCAAAGTTATTTAATAAAGAAAAAAAAGAGTTTTACAACTGTTCTACCATGCCCCTGTTAAACATTCAAAACCAAGTGTGCAACAATGACAGAATTTAGATAACCATTTAAATAGTATTATTTTTATGGTTATCTAAATTCTGTCATCTTCCATTATTTTTTAGCTTTATATACTTTTTGGCTGATCCCTAATCTAAACTTTTAAATAAGGGATCGTTCATAAATTATGCAACGCTAAATTTCACTAATGAACAAAACAAAAAAGATCAAAATTTTCCCTTCTAGTCGTATGTTAAATAAAAAATCAAAATAACTCATCAAGTTTAATGAAAATAGCCACCTAAAAAAACTGAAAATCTCCTTCATTTTTAAAAATAAATTTAGCTTTGCATAATTTATGGATGATCCCTTAGTGTTTTATAGTCTATAGTTTTTAATAGCCTAAGATCTTCTTAGTTCTGCTATTTGTATAGCGCTGCATACAAATGTCTGTAAAAGTAAACATCTTAAGCATATGTTGAGTTTTCAGGCAGTATATGGAACAATCTATAAATCTATAAAAATGAGAAAACTCTTGAATTTTATTTTAACAACTAGAATTTTTTTGCTATATAATTATTATTCTTTTGCTATAAATATTGCTATAGCACAGCAAAATTGAAAAAAATTCAAAATTTATTAGGGGAGGTCTTTAATTCCCCAAAACAACACTGATGACAGCGCACTAAACCACTGAGCTATAATGATATGGGTTTAGGAGAAAAACAAACCTAATTATAAATCTCTTATAAGCTCTACGTATGCTAAAAGGGTGCGCATGTTAATTTTTTTGCTCTTAATGCAATTTTTTTTAATGAATTACTTTACGTAAAAATATTGAAGTAAACAAATCATAGGTATAGAAATGATCTGTGTGGAATAGATAAGTATAGAAAAGGTAAATTTGGTAAAGACCCGTATTTTATGGGCCCGGGAAGCTAGGATAAATATATAAGGAAAAAGTATAGAAAAGGTCAGTGTGGAATAGACTTACAAAGACCCGTATTTTACAGGTCAGATCAGCTAGTTATATAATTTCAACAAAATTATTTATATAAAAAAAATTTGTTAGATTTAACAGCATAAAAATGAAGTTTATTAACTAAAAATAAAAAAAGTGCATGTTTATCATACTTTTTTTGACAATTTTTATTCAATAAGTTTTTTATAATACAATTATCATTCTTGAAATTTTCATTTACTTTTGCTTATTTGAGACCAACATCAGCCCTTGGAATTAAGAAAAACGAGGTTGGCAATAATTTGTTAATAATAACCTTAATCTTATAGAGAATGGCATCAGTTCAGCAAAAAAAAAAAAAAAATTAGATACAAAGTTTTTACTATAAAACATAGAAACGAAGTCAAACACTTCTAGGTCAGCATTGCTGAATGCTGACCCTAATTCTGAGGGCTGCAACATAATACACTTTTAAAGAATTTTTTTCTGCATTAGGAACTCGTTAAATGCTTAAGGTGCATGACCCCTAAAAATAGTTTTTATTCAAATAATTTTAAATCCTGTGTTTTTTATCATATTAAAGGAGAAGCAGCATATATTTTTCAAAAATGTTGGCTCTTGGAACACCCTAATACACACACACACACACACACACACACACACACACACACACACACACTTGTTCACATACATACAAATGCATGTTTGTATAAAACTGTGTGCACATGGTTTATATGTGGTTTAGAACAATTTTCCAAATTTTTATTTTGTAGCTTAAATATGACATTATCAACGAGTTAATGCAATTTTTAAACCAAAGAGGTGAGGACCTGTCTTAAAACCTATATAATTTGAATAAAATTAATTAACTTTATTTAGAAATAGAAATGACATCTTCAACTTATCATTAATGATGCCATCTGTGGAGGCTCTACAAAGGCAGTCTATTTTTCAAACTATCACACCATGCCTGAAGTAAGTTAGGAATGCAATACAATCCAGAAATCATAAGACTATGCATTTATTCTGTAAACATCCTTAATTAGGTTAATGAGAACTAGGTATTAAAACATGTATTTTATCAACAAAAAAAAAAGAAATTAAACTTTTTTTAAATTGTTCACATTACTTTACTTAAAATATGTTTTTTTTTCTAATAAAATTTATTATAAAATGGAAATATTTCGATTTATACCAATACAATATTAAATACTAGTTTAAAACATTTATCATTTTACCTTTTCACTGATGTTTTCATCGAAAGTTGTATTATACCCACTATTAACTAAAAAAAATTATATATTAACTATAAATGTTAACTTTTATTTATAAAAATAAAAATTACACATACTACATCATATAATTACACATATACACAAAGATGGAGTGAAAAACACTTCAGGGCTCAAATTAGGTATATTGTAATCACAAATTGTGATTGCTTTTTTCACTTTTGCAATTTGATTTTTCTTTTAAAAAAATTCTCAAAATCATCTTTTTTATATTCCAAAGTATTAGGCTGTACATAAAAACATACATTTAACAATTTCATTATATAGAAAACATTACAGAGGAAAATTTTGATCATAATACTTTTGGATAGTACAAACACATAACTAATATGCTATCACTTTGAAACTTCTACTACAAAATATTCTTTAAATGTGAAAATTGCGCTATCAATAATTGTAATATTTGTCAAAAATTACTGCAGGGGGTAATTCTTATTGAATTTTGCTCATCTTGGTCTCATTATTTAATTTTTTTATTACAGGCCTTGGCACGAACCGCAAGATATCGATCGCTCTAATTGACCACGGTAATAGTTTTTTATTGCGACAACTTGCCTTCAGCTTCTTAGATACTTTAAATGGGCGCTAAAAAAATTAAAGCTGTGGGCAAGTTGCTACAACAAAAAACTATACCTGTGTTCAGGCAAAGTGATTGATAACTTGCCATTCCCACTGAGACCTTTTATTATTAATATAGAAATCAGAGAGAATAATTAAACTTTTTAAAAAAATTATTTTAATTAAAATCTACACATTTATCAACATAAACAAATATCTAGCATATGTAATATGTAATGTAATTCGTAATACTTTAACATTGAGTTGCATACATTTTTCTGATTTCACATACTAATGTCACTTTTAATTTTATAAATGTTTTCTTCATTTTGTGTAAACTTTTTGTTACCATGTTTTGTACAAAACTGCTTAATGTTGAATAAACTTTTAATTGAAGAAATTCATTCAAATTTCTATTCAATAATTAACAACAATGCTTCACAAAATAGTTAACATAAATCATTTTACTTCTGAAAACAATTTTTAATCAAAGTAATAAAATTCATTAAAAATTAGCTTATTATTTTTTTCAAAACTAGTAATATTATAAAAAAAACTTCACAATACACATAATTCTGCACTATAACAATATATATGATACTCAATAATTCAATAAAACACTCACAAAACCATATATATATATGTATATATATATATATATATATATATATATATATATATATATATATATATATACTCACAAAAAGACTATATACAGTGGTTTTCATAAATTTAGACGCACTCATATTTGAGAATAGAAAATTTTAGGTATTTTAATGATAAAACAATGACGAAAAAAGATTTCGGTTTAGTTTTTTTTCTATTTATCAGATAAATACATACAGAATACAAAATTTAAAAAAAGTTTACAAAAAAAATGAAATACTAAGTAATAATTAGGTACAACTACATGGTATTAAAAAAATCAGACAAAAAAAATTATTCATAAATTTAGACGCACGATACATTAGAAGGCGTAATTTATGAACCAATCAATATTTTGTGTATTCGCCTTTTGCCTTAATACAACTAAGAACTCTTCTAGGCATAGACTCAACAAGATTTTTGCACATCGCTTCTGGGACCCCATACCAGGTCTCCTTAAGGAATTCCTTCAGATGACCAAGTGTGGAAATTTGAACCTTTGCTAATTCACGATCAATCCAAGCCCAAATGTTTTCAATCGGGTTCAAATCAGGTGAATATGGAGGCCACGTTATTGTCATAATATTATTATCGTTGAACCACTCCTTTGTATAGTATGCAGTATGTGCAGTAGCGCTATCTTGTTGAGGTTTCCATGGTTTATCATTGAGCATAAGCAGGTCAATTGATGGAATTAGGTTGTTTTCCAGTACTTCTACGTATATTCTGGAGTTGATTCTTCCGGTGTATGTTTGGCACATACCAACACCTTTGTAATTGAAGCATGACTAGATTCCTATCGAGCCTCCTCCACTTTGTACAGTTGGTCTAATGTACCTGGCATAATACTTTTCGTGAGCCATTCTTTTGACTGTTATGTTAGATTTGCGATTGATAAGCTCAAAGTTACTCTCATCACTCCACATAATGTTTTCCCATTGATCTATTGTCCAATACCTTCTTTCACGACACCATTTTAGTCTCCTTTGTTTATCATATGGACGCAGAAGCGGTTTCTTCAAAGCAGTGTAGACTCCAATCTTGTATTTGATAAGTATTCGGCGGACTGTGCTTTGAGAAATAGATGTATTTCGCGTTGTATTGAATTCTGTGGTCAATTCTTTGTAACTAATCCTTGGATTAGCTCTAACAGCTCTAAAAAGAACACTATCGTCCTTTCTCGTGGTTGACAAGGGTCTACCTGGCCTCGTTTTCTCGCTGGCACCACCAGTGTGAAGAAAGTTTTGTTTCGTTGTCCGAACGCATTTCTCAGAAACTCCAATTAACTTGGCGATTTCTCTATTACTTTTGGTTCCTTCTTTGATGTGCGCAATAATTTGCCATCTTTCACCCTGAGTGATACGTCTTTTGCCCATTTTTTACGTTTTTTTAGTGCAAAACTAACTTAACTTTTGTTTATTTATTAAATAATGATTAAATAATTCTAGGTAAGTCATATTTGTATAAGGTTTTTTGACAAAATCAATTAATTTAGGCCTATTAATGAGAAATATAAGAAAAAAACTACTAATTAACTATCAATTAACAAGATATAAGACTTTTTTAATTGTGCGTCTAAGTTTATGAACAAAATAAAATCAAGTTTATCAATTAACTTTTTTGTGTTAATCGGTATAAAATGAGTAATAAACATCCTGTAAAAAAAATTAAGGTACTCTTTAATAGAGTTTCATTTCCTTTTTTAAATTATATATCAAACATAGCGGTAGCACTTTTATTTTATTTTTATTTTGAGTATTTTCTTACATATATGAAAAAAAAAATGAATGCGTCTAAATTTATGAAAGCTACTGTATATATATATATATATATATATATATATATATATATATATATATATATATATATATATATATATATATATATATATATACACACTCACAAAAAGATATATGCTTAATATAATTTTTTTTTTAATATTTAGAATACAAAATTTTTCTTTATTATTGTATAGTAATATAAAAAAACTTTTTTAAAAAAAAAATGCTTGTTATAAATGTAAACTATTTACTTTGCAAATTAAATCTTAATAATTTCAGAAGCATTTTCCTTTATATTATATACAAATATAAATTTTATTAAAAATATAGAAACTTTTGAGTTTATTTGCAACATTAGTTTTAAAAATACTTTGATCTTCTTTGATTTTTGTATTATTCAGTATCTGGTTCTGACAAAGCGTTAATCTTTCTAAAATTTTAACAAAAATTGACTTCTAAACCTTCTATCATACAATTCTTTCTTAGATTTTGTTTGTGTTGATCATTGGATTGATGTTTTTGATTTGGTGTAAAAATTTAATTGTTAAATTACACTTTATTTGTAGTGATTACTTTTTTTTTTTTCAATTTTTTGTTTAATTAAGTTTCAATTCTTCTGCATAGTTTACTTTTTGTATCGTTACTCTTTCATAGTAATTGATTTTTTTACCCAAAATATTTATCCCAGAATAAATCTCTTTTTCCTTGGAAATCAGATAAAAGTCGAGAAAAACTATAAGATTTTATTTCATCAAGTTAAACATAACAAGATAATTTAGTAAAATCTTTAAAATTTTGGAAAATCTTTAAAAAGAATCCTTCATGCCTTCTCTATTGCATGGACCAGATAGAACTATTTTAATATATAATTTCTGATCATTCACAATGCTAAGTAAAACTATTTCTTCAGTTTCCTTGAAACTTCAACTTTTTTGCTCTATTGAATAATTTAAATACTTTTTGGGCAAAATTAGCTAATTCAAATTTAAAAAATTTTGCTACCATTATATCTTTATACTACATATTTTAAGCAAAATTTCAAAAAACTAGATAGATCAAGAACTCCCTATCATTTTACAATGCCTAAACTAATTGACTAAATAATGTTTGAAATAAAAACAAAATTATGGCAAAAACAGAGAAAACAATTAAGATCACTTTTGCAATAGTTTAAGTTAATAAGTATAATAAATTAGAAAGCAAAATCTTTTTTAAGATAAATAAAAAAGTATTCTAACTTGTTTGTTCACTATTTTCTTTTTTTTTTAATTTGTCTTTAGTTGTCCATTTCCAATCAGGATTGTTTTTGTAATGAGCATTTTTTACCTGATAAAAAAAAAATTAACAAAATAACCAAAACACTATTAGTTTGATATGGAAAAATGTACACTGGGGAAATAAAAAGTGATACAATGTCAGTGTTCTAGCTAAAAATGTTTTATTAAGTAAAACATTGTACACAAGGATTTTGAGCTGTGTCAAATTAATTAAGGTATTCAAACTGACACATTGATTATCAACATCAAAAACTTTCAAGATCTATAGAAGATTTGCGAATATCTGCCATTTTGTTCATGTAATATGTTTTTGTACTCAATAATAATTAAAGATCATTTAAATTTAGATAAAATATTATTATCTACATGTCTGTTAACAGGGGGATTTAACAATTTGTATATTTAACAACCATCACTAGTCACAACACAAAGCAGCCAATAAAACATCTTATAGGTGATTCAATGATTAAGAATGGCAAGGAGTGAAAAAATAATAAAAAGTCTTGTTAGCATTTTTCACAATAAACCAATAAGCTTGAACACTTTATATAAAACTTTCAACAAATTTCATTATTAAAATGCAAATATAAAACTTTTTACTATTTTCATTATTAAAAAATTGCACATATAATATACAAATTAATCACAAAAATATCAAAAAGTGTCAGATCAATTTTTCTATAAAAAATATTACATCATCAGCTAATCGTTTGTATTTAAGTTGCTCATCTTGGCTACTATTGTACCACATTTCACCAAGGATTTTGGATACAGTTCTGTTATCCTGATTTGGGTTTCTTTTATGAACATCTTTTCTGTGTTTTTTACTAAATATCATAAAGGCATTCATTGGTCTTCTAACATGATCTTTTTCAATATGAATAAGCTATAAAAAAAATTAGAAAACGATCTTAAGCTATAAAAAATATATGCACGTAAGCTTTTACAGGGTTCCCACTATTAAAACTGAGGCTAAAAGTAAGGATTTTAAGGAGATTTAAGGAGATTTTTTCCTAATACTTAAGGAGGTTTGGTTGTGAACAATAATTTTTTAAAAGAAAAAGGAGAATTAAGGAGAAAACGATTATATGAAAAACAGAATCTTTTTTTTTCAATAAATTTTAAATATAAACAGAGAAATTATTATAAATTAATATATTACTTTATATATATATATATATATATATATATATATATATATATATATATATATATATATATATATATATATATATATATATATATATATATATATATATATATAAAATAAAAATATAGGTTTGCAAACTATCAAAGAACTGTATATTTTCTTCTTTATTAATAAGTACAACACGGGTCAACAATTTATGTTTTCTAAAATCTCTATAAAAATACGCTTCTTTTGAGACCCAGGTTGACATACTTTTAAATAATTTTTTTTTTTGACAATATTAGGGATTTTACCCTTTGGTTTCAAATACTAATGATTTGAACCCAAATATCTTTACAAATTTAGATGATGATGAAAAATGAGTTGCATATTTGAAATCAAAATGAGAAATGCTAAACAAAAAACAGTTTGCTCAGCACCAGAAAAAAACAATTTTTTTGATCGACCTGTGTAATCCATTCATTTTGATAAAATTTTCTAGTTGATTAAAAAAAAAATAAGGAGAAATTAAGGAGAGCAATCAAATTTTATCTTTTTTTAAGGTTGTTTAAAGACATTTAAGGAGGTTTTTATTTTTTAAGGATATTTAAGGTTTTTAAAGAGGAGTGGAAACCCTGTATAAAAAATATATGCACATAAAAAATAGTTTATTCTAACTAAACTTTTCTATTTTAAATTTGAGACAACAACAACCTTTAACAGTTCGTAATACAATAAAAAAAAATTTTATTTTTATTTCAATTTTTTTTTTATTCCTTTGTTTCAATTTTTTTTTATTTCTTTGTTTTTATTTCTTTATTTTTTTATTTCTTTGTTTATTTTTATTTTAATTTATTTTTATTTCAATTTGTTTACTTTTATTTCAATTTCAAGACAATTTTATTTCAAACTCAGAAGAAAAAAAAATTATGTTATGGCATCCTATTCATTTTATGCATCTTCACTTCCAACAAGGCTGCAAGCAACCATTATGAGAGTTGGAAGTTACTGAAAGAAAAAAGATGAAGTTCAGAATAAAGATAAATCAAGATAACAAATAACATAGGACTTAAAATAGAGCAAACTATATGCATCAGAAAAACAAGAGGCTGGGTGAATAAAAATAAAAAATTGCTTTTACTCAGTAATTGGTCAGCTTTACATGAATTAAAAGTTAAAGCAGTTAAGAAGCAGTTTGGCTCAAATTTTTATTTGCGTTAAGTTAAACAATTTACTCAGTAATTTTTCAGCTTTACGTAAATAAAAATTTAGGCAAAATTTCTAAAGCTTTTATTTACATAAAGCTGACCAATTACTAAGTAAAAGCAATTGCTTATTTTTATTCACCCAGCCAAAAATGAAGGGAGTGAATTCCAAAGAACTGATGTTCAAGGAAAAAAAACAAGACAAATGAGAATTTTTGACGCACTTAGGAACAGCCACAGTAAAAAGATGAGACTTAATTG